GACGGGGAGGGGGCGGGTCTGGGGGAGGGGAAGGGGGAGTGGGTCCGTCGGACGGGCCTACTCTTCCCATCTCCGTGATTGTGCCTCCGTCTGCCAGACCCCCAGTCCCAAGTGGCCAGTATGTCATCTGCAGGGCAGGAGGCGTTGTTGGACAGTGGGTAAACTGAGGCACGATAGGGACACTGGGCACTGCCCCAAGTCAGGCGCACGGATTCATGCAACCCGGGCGGGTGCGAGGGACAAGAGAGACCACCGTGTTCCAGGACCTGACCTCCTGGCCCGGGGTCTGTGCACTGGCAGGGCAGGATTGAGGTCATTAGCCCTGTGACCACCTGTGTGTCTGGACACTGTTGGGGATCACCTGGCTCTGGCAGTGCCCTGGCAGCTTGAGGCCATTGGGGCTTTACTGGTCACTGGTCATTGGCTCCACCTGTCCCAGCTTTGGAGTGGGGGGTGTGGGGCGTGGGGAGCTAGACCAGCAGCCAGTGCCCTGCTCCTCTGCCCCAGAGCCTGGGCTTCTGCGGTGGGCACTGGTGTCAGTTCTGCTTTGCACTGGATGGCCTGGGAGCCCAGACCCCCCTGGACTTAGGAATAAATGAAGCAGAGAAGGGTGCGACTCTCTCAATGAGAGCTGGGGGGAGGCAGAGCATGTGTTACCTGTGAAACCCCCTGAGCTGGCAGGGGACCCCTGAGACTCTCCCCAAAGAGAACCATCTTCACAGGAGAAGCTCAGGCCTCAGTAGGGGAGAGAGAGAGACTCTGAGTTTTTATCTTGTGCCGACAGTACTCTCAAAACAGTTTGACCATGTGCATATGTTACTTTTACATATGGCTTTGAAAAGCTTTGCGATGCCCCCTCTTTGCATTCCACAAACATTTTGGATTCCTCGAGATTGGTGTGAACTGGAAATCGCTAGTTGGGCAAAGGAGTTACCGGGTGCATCTCTTTCCCTGGCCCTTCCTGCCTGCACTCCTCCCTATCCCCCTTGGTGCTGGCTCAGCTGCCCCACTTGAGGGCAGATTTTTACCTTTCCTCAAAGGACTTCTTGGGATCTGTGTTGCTCCAAGCTGGTACAAAGTGCTTGCATGGAGGCAGGATCTCCGTGGAGGGGTCAGTTAGTTGATCCCCCCCCTGGGAAATCTGAGCCAGAGAGAGGTGAATGTGCACCACCCTGTGTGACCCCAAGAGGAAGGGGAAGGCCTCTTTGAGGCCAGGGTCACAATGCCCTTCCCTTGTTGACCATCTCCACCCTGGGGATAGGACCCAAAGGACTTCTTCAAGGATCTGTGTTGTCAGCCTTCCGCATGTATGTGTGGGTGTCTACATGAGACATGTCAATGTCTGTTGGTAGATGTGTGTCAGGTGACATCTGTGTTGGATGTACCAGTGTCAGGGTATATCAATGTTCTGTGCTAGGTGAGGTCAGTGCCTGTCTGTTAGTATCCAAGTGACTAGACATCAGGTGTGGGGGTCGATGTGTCTGGATCCTAGCATATATACGTGTCTGAACTGTGACATGTCTAAGTGTGCTGGTTCATGTCTGTGTGTCAATACTTGTGTATCAGGGTTTGAGGGACCAACTATTTTCTGTGTGTACCCAGATGTCAGGATGTTGCATAATATAGTGTGTATGTGTGTGTGGGTGGGGGGTGTGCTGTGTCCTGTGTGTTTCTACTTGTTAGGAGGTCATTGTGTGTCCATATGTTGGCATTTGTGTGCTTGCATGATTACATCTGTGTACGTGGGGATGTTGTTATGTATCTTTGTGTCTGCATGTCAGGGTATCATTGTGTCTGTGTGTCTGGCCAACTACATGCACGTGCTTGTGTGTGTTGGGGTTTGCTGATGTCAGTGTTATTGTGTCTCTGTGTGCTAGTGTTTATGTGTGTGTGTGTGGTTATTATGTGTGTGTTTGTGTTCCAGTGTGATCTGTGTGTTTCTTATAATGAGACATTGTTGAATGATGGGCCCCCAGCAGATGTCCGTGTCAGATCCTTGAACCTGTGAATGAGACCTTATTTGGGAAAAAGGTATTTGCAGATATGTACGGATCTTGAGATGAGATCACACTATATTACCCAGGTGGGCCCTAAATCCAAGTATCATCAGAGGGAAACAGAGAGAGGTTTGAGAGTGACAGAAGAGGAGTTGATCTGACCACAAGGGCGGAGATGGACATGGTGTCCATAAGCCCAGGCTTTCCCAGGCGGCCACCAGAGGATGGAAGACACAAGGAAGGACTCCCCTCAACCCCTGAAGGGAGCACCAACCTGGTGGACTCTCCCCTTGACCCCCAGAGGAAGCACCACCCTGTAGGACTCTCCCTCAACCATGAGGGAGCACCACCCTGGAGGATTCTCCCCTCAACCCCCCCAAGGGAGCACCGCCCTGGAAGACTCTCCCCTTGACCCCTGGAGGGAGCATCGACCTGCTGGATTTTGCACGTCCAGAACTGTGAGAGAACAAATTTCAGCTGTTTTCAGCCACCTGCTTTGTAGCCCTTTGTTACAGCAGCCCTAGGAGCCTCATACGTTGTGTCTGAGCATGACTTTGCGTAAGTTGGGGGTTGTGTCAGTGATGGGTGTCACCACTTGGCTGTAGTCCCACGTGTCCAGTCTCTGCCTCTTGTCCTCTTGAGGCACTGGGGTTAACAGGATGCCCTTCCAGGACATGACACCACTGCCCCCTGGTGGCAATGGCTGCAGGCAGCTGGGTTGGACACCCCCTCTCCCAGACCCAGGACTTCCGGGCACTTGAGAATCAGGTTTATTTCTGATTTTGTTTCAGAGTATATAAAAAAGCGCAAAACAAGGAAGACAAGACAGGAGTGTGTGGGACGGGAAAGACACAGGAGGGAGGAAGCAGGGCTGAATGAAGGTTAATGGACGAGGTGGGCGGGATTCTCAACGGAGCCAGACAGAACCAGGGGCTCCCAAGGGGGGCTCAAGGGATGGGAAGGGCCAGGCCAGTTGTCCAGATCCCACTTGGGACCTGTGTGACTACCCTCAAGTCTGGAGGCCAGCTCAAAGTGCAGAGAGGGGACAGGCTCAGCCTCGTCTGTCCCTGAGATTTTCAAAGGCCCCAGGGGAGAGGGACAGGGCAGAGGAGCACAAAGGGGGGGCGGCCGGGACTGCCCTCACCATCCTTCTGCCAGGCAGCACCGGCCCCAGACCACCCAGTAAGGGGCTGCTCAGACCTCTGGTGGGCAGATGTTGGGGAGTGTCCTGGGTACAGCCTCCTGTGAATCCAGGCCTTCCTGGGAAAGCAGTAATTGGAGGACCCACACACAACTGTGCCCTGAAGGTGGTCTCCATGAGCCTGGGAGAAGGGGAGATGCTCAGAAGCTAGATCTTCCATACATAGGGTCAGAAGCACACAGAGGCTGGCCACTGGGTGCAGAGCCACCTAGGCAGGGCGGGGTCCTTTCTGTGCCATCTTTTGTCCCTGGAACTTGGTCAACCTGGACCTCTCTGGGCTTCAGTTCTCATGAGTAGACGAGGGTGAGGTGAGGATTTATAAATAATGAATGGAAGTGCTTGGCTTGGGGCCCGGTCAAGCGGTTGCTGATGGCTATTACTCTGGATGGTGGGTTGGCCTGCTGGGTCCTGGCAGAGGATAGGCACACACCAAAGGGAGCCGAGGCCACTTATTCCACCTGGTGGTGCTGGGAGAGGGCACAGAACTGGGCAGGACAGGTGGGTGGACAGACAAGTGACTCAGCAGGCCATGGGGGATGGACAATACATGGTGAAGAGAATGTAAATAACAGACTCCCTGGGAGTCTGGGGGGCATCCAAACCAGCCCTGACTCCAGGCAACTGCCATACATGCTCCCAGTAGCACCAGGGAACAGCTTGGGCTTAGGTCCTTGGAGGAGGGGCCATGCTCAACCAGCCCCTGCCCACCCAGCCCCAGGGCCCAGCCTGGAATGCCTGGCCAGAGGCACCGGGAAGGGGTGGTCCTGGCCTTGCCTGTCCATTAAGCCAGGTTTGGCCACCCGGGCATCCTGCAGGGTCCACAAGGAGCTGCGTGGCCAACTCTGCCTCATCCTTGGCTGTGGGCTCCAGTCACAGTGCTGGGGTCTGGGGTTCAAGCCTTGGCAGCAGCTAAGACATATTTCCAAAGGAAGCTGGGGGTGGACAGGGTGAGGAGGGGTGGGTTCTTAGTGCTGTCTGCAGCACGGCCCTTACAGAGTCCCCAGCCACCTCCTGAGGCATTCCACACCCTGCCCTTGAGGGTCCTCTCTGGCACCCCGGTCCCTCACACTGACCTTGGCTGAGCAGCTGCAGGCTCCGCCCCTCCTCACGCACCTGCAGGCGGAGCACCTGCTGCAGCACCTCCTGCCTCTGGGCCTCCTGTGCCAGCCCCATCCGCTGCAGCTTCTCTGCATCCAGCCGAAGCAGCGCCCGGCCTGGGGAGAGGAACAGGGCTGAGCTGAGGCCCATAGGCCTCAGAGCCATGGTGGAGGCAGAGAAAGGAAGGAGGGGAGAGAGGGGATATGGGACACTGAGAAATTCAGATGGAAGAAGATGTTCAGAGACAGGGAAGAGAGCCAGAGAGAGGCAGAGGGAAGGGATGGAGAGCAAAAGACAGACTGCAAGAGACACAGAAAGCAAGGCACAGAGAGAGACACAAGAGACAGGAGCCAGACGAGGAACCAGACAATAGCAAGGGATAGGTGGGCTGTGTGTGGGGAAGAGGCACTCCAGGTTCCTGCCCCCGCCCCACTCCTGCCAGTCGGGTCCTGCCATACCAGTGATGGCGTGCTGGGAGAAGGCCTCCACGTAGACGAGGTAGTTGTGTGGACAGTGCTTTTTGAGCCACTTGCAGACATCTTGCTGACTCCATAGGACCACAGGTCTTGTCAGGCCACCCAGTGAGGGGCTCGTGTGGTACAGGCCGTAGTGGTCAGAGTACAGACGGCTCTGCAGGGGAAGGCATGCAAGCAGCGTGAGAGTGGTGGAGAGGAAGGGCAGGCGCAGAGGTGGTGGAGTGCATGGGTACCTGAGGGGTCTCTGAGCCGGGCTGCTGCAGGAGTTTAATGGGCCTGCTGCTGGCCGCCCTCTGGCTGCGGGAATCGTGCCACGTGAGGCTGTTGCCGGTCATTCGAGGCAGGTGGCAGGGGATGTTCTCAGCAGACACCGTGTGCTCCAGGAAGGTCCGGCAGAAGCTGACGTGGGCCGTGGCTGTATGCAGGGGTACCTGGTCAGAGCAGTTGGGGCAGGGCCAGAGGTTCCCCTCCCCAAGAGCTGGCTCTCTGCCTAGCTGCCAGTCTGTCTCCCCTTCATCCATGGAGTCACTTCCCCATGAGGAGTTTCCAAGTCCCCGAAGGCAGAGGGAAATGTGCAGGAGCTGTCTTGAGGACACCACCCAGGTCAAGGATGGAGAACTGGAAAAACCTGGCCCCTTGCAAGTCTATAGCCCATACTCTGGGGAGGAGGAATTTTGCTAGGATTGGAGGATGTGCCCACTAGGGGGCCTACAACCTATAGCCAGGCAAGGGGTGCTGCCCTGGGACAGCCCTGAGCTCAGCCTTGCCTTGGGCTGGCACACACACCACACTGGACCAGGAAGTACACAGGGCATGTGTTGAGGAGAGGCTGGAAGGTCCTCTGTGGGGGAGATCTTGCTGAGGATGCTGCTTGCCCATTGCCACTGAAGGTGCCTGGTTTCTACAGCCATCTGGCATTGGACGGTTGGCCCTGCCCTGCTGTGCTCACCGATCATGACTCACTGACAAAAAGCCTGAATGCTGAGTAAGCCCTCAAGTGGGGTTCACTCCCCAAGCACATGCTGGTTTTTCCTGCTGGGTCACCTCCCCGAGGGTCCGCGGGGCCCAGTACAGCTTTGTATGAATGGGGAGAACTCACTGGACAAAGGCTACTTAGCACACATACATGGGGTCAGCCATTTACTCAGGTACTGTGGGATGCCCTGGGTATTCTTGTCTCACACCAACTCTACTATACTCGCTACATTTTAGTGATTTTTGTTTTTGTTTTTTGTAGTTGGAGTCTCACTCTGTCGCCCAGGCTGGAGTGCAGTGGCACGCTCATGGCCACCACAGCCTTGACCTGCTGAGCTCAGGTGATCCTTCTGCCTCAGCCTTCCAAGTAGCTGGAACTACATGTACATGCTACCATATCCAGCTAATTTTGTGATTTATTGTAGAGGTCTCACCGAGTTGCCCAGGCTGATATCGAACTTGTGGGCTCAGGAAAGCCTCTCACCTTGGCCTCCCAAAGTGCTGGGATTATAGGCGTGAGCCACTGTACTCAGCCTGTGTATTTTAGTTTTATCCTTATTTCTGGGGACTGCTCACATGAATCTTGGGGGCAGACACCTAGCGGGACACTCCCATCCAGGGTGGGCTTCTCTTGCCTTGCCCCGATCTAGGTACACAAGAGGCACCCCACAAACACAGTGAATGAACGAATGGAGACTCTGTATGGTGTCTGCAAAGCAACAGTCTGGGGGGCAGACAGGAAGGTGGGTGCAGACTCATTCCCATCTTTACAGCATCCAGGCCCTAACTCAGTAGGGTAGGGCGAAATTCCCATGCCTGTGCCCTTCACCCCTGCCCCCCACTCAGCAGTAGGGTGAGATACCCACCCTCCCTTCCTCTCTCCCTCCCTCAGACACAGCCACTCACTCCACACTGGCACAGGACTTGGTGATGTGTCTAGGGGGTCTGAGGAATGGGGAAACTCACACCCTCCTTCCCTGTCCTTCCACCCCTTAGAACTTCTGGGTACTTAACATCCCCCTCTCTATTCTTGCAGCTTTCAGGAACCAGACTCCAGGTGATTAAATTTGAAATCCATGGTCAGCAGAGGACGTGGCCCATGAGCCACCGCCCCGATGTGGCCTTCAGTACCATGGGAAAAGACTTATTTCAAGTCCGCACCTCCCAGCGGACAGGCGCGGTGGTCTCAGGGGTTCGTAGGGCCTTAGCCGCAGGGCTGGGCAGGGGGCGCCGCGAATCAGCCGGACTCCTTTCCCGCCCGCATCTCCCGCACCTGCCGGGCCAGCCGGGTCCCGCCCATTTCCTGTCGCACTCCAGGGAGGGGAAGGAGGGGGGGGCTCCGTCCGTCAGTCTGTCGGTCCGTTCCAGCCCCAACGTCAGGATTCCAGAAGGAAGTGGGGCGGGGACGCCCGGGCCGGGCTGTGACTTCGACTCCCTCTCGGCCCCACTGCAAAGGGTGGGGAAGGTCTTCTCCGTGCCAAGGAAAAGGTGGCCTGAGTGTGGAGCCAGGCTGGAGACAGGAGCCTGTCACCCCTCACCCCAGGCCAAGGGCGCGCTGACCCCTGAGGTCTGAACCCGGCAGCTCCCCAGAGCAGGACAAAGGCCACGGGGACCCCATGGGCCCGGACGCCCCCAGCATTCCCCGCCGCCGCCGCTCGAAGCCGGCCGGGCCCCGCCCCCGTG